AGGCTAAACAATATTCTTCAATGAAAATAATTCCCGAAATATATTTCATGAAATATGTTTTGTCTGAGCAATAAATGAGAATAATCAACGACCAGCATCAGCCATTAGCGCTATTAATCATTTCATTACCCTGAAATATTATAGTAATTGCAATAAAATGTAATACATCTAGATATATGAGTGCGTTGCATGCATTGTCTGCTTCCTTTACAGCGGCGTTGGCCTATTAGGCCCCAAATTAAATGTTTCGCACACCATTTTGATGGATTCACGTCAATTATGCGGCCGAGGCTGTGCTGCCATGTCCAATATGTTCTCTGTTCATGCGCCTCGTTGGCTGCTCTTCCAATTAGCCACGAATCACTGATGTGTGCCACTTTATGCGGTGCGTGCGGCTTAGATTCGTGTGTGGAGCGAATCGTTGATCGAAATGAAGTGTTCTAATATGGGCAGGAGCACAAAAACAAATAACATTGAATAATCACACACACACACGTGCATTTATCAAAAAAAAAAGAGAAAACAACAAAAACAAGTTACAATATTCCAGCTATTTCATTTGCGATTTCACGAACTTTGTTTTTATTTTTATGTGTTATTTATTTAGCGATAATTTTAATGACTAATAAATGGGTTTCAGAACGTTTGTAGAGTGCTGTTGCTGCTGCTGCTGCTGCCGAAGTCTTTAGGTGAGTTGCATTTGCCATTCCATGCCGGACGTGTCAGTGATCAACTACCGCGCGGCGCTGCGTTGGGCCTGGGCAGTTTGCTGGGCACGCGGCCGGCCTGCACTCACTTGCTGAACTTGAGACCAACTGAAAGAGTAAATTTCAAACAATTAATATACACATATACATATATAGTATATGTATGTATATCATTCGGTTGCCAACACTCACCGGCACTGCTTCGTGGATTCTTCATTTTGGAGGGCTTCTTGCGCACCTCCGACTGGCTCATGCCGCTGCTGCCGCTGGTGCCCGGGCCGTGTGTGTCGACTTGCATGCTCTCGTCGCTGTCGGAGGCCTGGCTCTTGAGCACCTTCTTCAAATTGATGAGCTGCGCAAATGGAGCGGTTTGTTTAGCACAGAGCGGCCAATAATCGTCGAGTGCAGTTCACTTACCTCCTGCTCAATGCGGTCCCTGTTATACAGACGCTTGGCCTTCTCGCCATTCGCATACTTAATCTGCATGTCAATGCAGTTCGACACGCTATCACAGGAATTGACCCACGCCTGCAACGTTTCCACTATTTTGCCAGTGTAGCCGGGCGGTATGTCACGCCCCTGGGCGTAGTCCACCTCCAGAATGCGTGTGTTCTGAAACAGTTTGCCATGTATGATGTCTGTGCGAGAGAGAGAGAGAGAGAGAGAGAGAGAGATGGGGGTAGAGGTTCATTATTATAAAGAGCTTCCAAACTGCCGCAAGAACAACTCATCAGATTAGCAGCAAAGTCGTTAAGAAACTACACTTAACTTTCGGCCAGGAGCTGCCTGCTTAAATACTCATGCAAATTATTTATAGCCTGCTGGCCGGCAGCCCAGATGAAATGTGTGCTCAACGTACATCACCCGCCCGAATGGCAGCCGGCGGCAGAGCTCGGACTTAAATGCCAGAGTCCAATAAATAAGTGGACTCAAGTGTCGCCTGCAGCCGGCTCAAAGGATCAACAGCAAAGAGGAGAGCAGAGCTGAGCAACTAACTAGCACATTCATCGTTCGGTCTCGAGTGGAAAGTTGCAATTCGTTTGGCCTTGTGGAACTTGTTACATTTGAATTACGCTTGGCCTTCGAGTCTGATTTTGGCTGAAAGTGATTTTGTATGTCATTCGTTGGCTTCTTAGTGCGGTGCCGTAGGCAGAGCAGAGTACTCCCCAGAGTTGGCTGAGCAAGTGTAAATCACATTTATCATTTAGATTGCAAGTCTGAAGTGCATTTCAAGTTCTTGGTGATTATGCTACTAAATCTCACAGCAGCCAATGGCCACGTTTACCATTCGACACACAGCATCCTGCAAATGAATTCTGTGCATCCCTTGACCTCATTTTACCCCTCATCGATAGCTCATTCAATTACATTAAATGAAGAGTCAGACTCTACAATAAACTGTTAGCGATTTTAGCTTATCCAAATCATTATTTAAGCTCTCATAATCAACCTTTCAGCGGCTTCACTATATCCCTCTATTGATGAAATATCCATTAAAATGATTTGAAAACCCGCACGAAAGCTCTAATTGGGTGTAATCGACTGAGCGATACCTTGATAAAATTTATAAAATTTTATAAAATAAGATAAATACATAAAATAAAGGAAAAATAATAATAAAATTAATATAAAAAAATAAAATAAATACATAAAAAATAAAAATAATAAATCAAATAAACTTAAAAAAATTTATACAAGTAATATTAAAAAAATAAAATAAGATAAATACATAAAATAAAGGAAAAATAATAATAAATTTAATATAAAAAATAAAATAAATACATAAAAAATAAAAATAATAATAAATATTAAAAAAAAAACAAGAGCAAAATAAAATAAAAAAATACTAACAATAAATTAAATAAATATATAAAATAATTTAAAAATAATAATAAATATGTTAAAAAAAGTTTCTAAGCTTAGAGCTTTTTGTTTCGCGATTTTATTTAATAACATTTGATTTACTTAACGTATGCAAATTAAACTTACAGCATATCATCTATATATTCTATTAGGTATGTATATGTCATTTCAAAAAAAGTTCAAACTCTTTAACACATTGCATATGTATATTTGCAACTGAACTTTAGCTTTAAGAATAAGTAAAAATTCTTTGCTAAATTGATTCAGTTTTCTCTAATATTATATACACTATGGGCTCTGCCATGTATGTTTCTGTTTAACGTGGTTAGGGTAAATTTCCCATTTTCTATTGTCTTAGGGTATAAAAAAGCAGACAAACCCATCTAATCCATCTGACAATATCAATAATAATAATATTATACTCGCACAAGCCAAAATCCTAAAGCTACTGACGAGGGCTGAAGTTCCAAAGGGTCGATACAATTCTCGTTTGTTTATTTGTTCAGCACTCGAATGTTTAACTTTTATTTTAGAATTGTGTTTCTGTTTTATTTTTTTCAGCTGCAGCGAGATCATAGCCGAGAGCTTATGCGATTAGCTTTCTGTGTTTGGCCAGCAGCTACTCAATTAACAAAATCCCATCGAAAACTATGAGCTAGAGCGCAATTGAAAATGAAATAACGATTATTGTTGGCCGTAATTAGTTTGGATTCGCTGGAAGCCTCTAGGGCGCTCAAAACTGGATAACAAACGGATTAGTTTCAATTTTCGATTGGACAGCATTCCCAGAAGGGGTCAGGGCGTTGCATAAGCAGGGACTGACAGGAGCGCGACCATAACGAATGGGCCAGCACGATAGCCAGTTGTAAGTCTGAAACTTTTCGCCACGGCCAAGGCAACCCATTAAAGCCCACTCCCACGACACTCCCACTCTAACGGTATCTCTGGCCAGGACACAAGCACAAGTTAAGACCTTGAACGTGCGACTTATACTCATACGACCAACTTTGGTCATAAATACGTGGATGGGGTGAGGGGGGAGGAAGAAAGAAAACTGCAAAATAGTCGCCAAAGCTGCGATTCAGTTAGTGACTCGCCTCAGGCATTTCCTTTAATTAGCCGGGGCGCAGGCATTTTGATTGAATTTCGGGCCAGCCTAGATGCCCGACAACAACAATGAATTGAGGGGGATAAAGAATATGCTGTTAAGGCGCTTCAACAGCCAGTGGGCGTGGCCAGCACAAGTGTAAAATTTTGCGGTATTTTTGGCGTTGACATGTGTCTGGCTTTTGCGGCCCACACAAATGTATCCAAGTGTGTGCATGTATGTGTGTGTGTGTGTGTTTTGAGCGAATGTTCATGAGGCTGGAAACTCAACGGCAAAACAATCAATCATGCTTTTTGTGCACGGCGCACCCGCCAAGGCGTGCCGCAAATTGTGCCAAAAAACTGCGGGACTCCTGCTGAAGCTGAAGCTGACTGCGAATGTCTGATGTTTGCTGTCTGCTAGGCTTTTCAGTCTCTCTGTGTGTGTGTGTGCGTGTTGCCGCAATGTATATTAAAATTGTTAAAGCATGCTTGCCAACGCGCGCACTCGCACGAACAGAGGCGAAATAAAAATATATATTCGCAAACAAACAAGAATTTCCAACATGCCAAAGAGATTATTTAATTTCCTGATTGCGTTTTCAGGAACTTGCACTGCAATACTTATTTCATTTTATTTGATTTCAACGTGCTGACATTTGAAGTGGAAATTAAGATTCAGTCGGCAGCGATTTGTGCAAAGAAATAGTTTTACAACTTTAAGAAATCGAGTGATTTTTATTTAGTTGGGTTCCATGAGGTTATACGAAATATATTTCTTAATTCTACATCAAAGTAAACTCAACGTCCAGCTCTCTTAATTACAAAACAAATTTGATAAGCGTCAGCTTATTAGCTGAAGTGTTGGCCAAGTGTTTGCATCAGTTTTCATTAATTTAATTTGCTTTAGATTTTTGCGATATTCCTTAGCCTTTGTTGAATACCGAGAACGCAATTACTTCAAGGACAATTTCGCCCCTGCTGTGTGCTAAATGGAGCGACACATCTAAATGGCCAGTCAAAGCAATGTAAAGCCGATCATAATGGAAAGTTTTGCATACACCTGTCGCTGACAGATTTAGCGAAAGCTGGCAGCATCTTTTTTTTTGTCCTTTGCAGCGCAAAATAAAATGAAAACTTATTAATTGAAAATTCAGCACACCGAAAGTATGCGACAGACAGGACGAGGGACAGCGGCAGGGGATGAGACGGCAGCAACTTGCGCCATCAATATAAACTCGAGCAGGCAACTATTGGAAACTTTTCACCTAAAACTGACAAAGTGCCGGGGAAGCTGCTGCTGGCCAAAAGTTTCGCGGCCTGACTTACACAACAATGTGCCGCAGACACCCAAAAAATATGCGTTGCAGGCGCAAAGTAATCAAAAACATCTGCACAGCCAGCATGTGAGCGGGCGTTGGCCGGGCGGTGCGGGCGGTGCGGGCGTGGCCGTGGTCTGCTCATATACTCTTGTCAGGCCAGACCGCAGCAATAGGAACTTTAGCTAAATGCACCACATGCAAACCCCCAAAAGGAGGCCAAAGTCTGAGCGGGGAGAGCAACGGCTCAGCCCAAGTCAAAGGCTCAGCGCCGGAGCGCATTATGCATCATTGCAGCTCTGGCATGACAGAAATTAAAGCGCACACTCTGAGGCAGCTCGCAATCGTAGGGAAAGAACACATATAGTCAACTGGTAGTTGCCCTACCCTACAGCATTTTTATTCAATAATTGTAAATTTTAAAATAAAATAATTGTCTATGAATATAAAATTGTATTATTAAACTTAAAATACTTGTCTATGAATATTAAAAAAAATATATATAATAAAAGGAATTAATAAATAATAATAATATAAAAATAGTAGTAGTATAATAAAATTAAATTGAAGAATTAAATAAAAATTTGCCAAGGCTGTTTACAAATTTTATAAAAAATGTTTAGGGGAAATAAAAATGATATACAATAAATTGAAAAAAAAAAAAACAATTATATTCTAATTCTAAATAATTTTCAAAAAATTTACATTATACAAACAATTTAAAAACAATAAATAAATAAAAAATAAATAAAATAAAGATAAATAAATAAAATTAAAAAAAAATAAATAAAAATAAAAATAAATAATTAAAATAAAAATAAATAAATAAAATAAAAAAATAAAAATAAATAAATAAAATAAAAATAAATAAATATGTTTAAAGTTTTATGTAAATTCGCCAAGGTTTTTAAAAGAAGTATATTAAAATCTTAAAATTATATTTTATTTCTCAACAATTTGCAAAACAATATATAAAATAAAATATATTTTTTTTAATTGCTAAGCTTATTTAAAAAATTTGATAGAAACTATTTAAAAGAAGCAAAAAATACATACATAGTTTTAAAAGAACATAAGAATTATATTTATTTGCCAACAATTTAGACACATCTTAAGTCCAGCTCAGCTCTTCCCAATCTATCATTATTAAGCTCGAAATTACAGGGTATAGCTTTAAAAAGAAACGAAACATTTACACCACAAATACACTTGATGTGATGTGAGTTGTACTATTTATTTAAAGCGCTGCTGTTGTCTCTATTTATTTTTACAGTCGCAGCTGTTGATTTTTTATTTGAATATGCAATTTTTTCCACACAAGCAACAGCAAAGCGAGCTAACAACATGAAATAGAGCAACAGCAGCAACAG